TGACTTTCATATGACCTGAAGTTGAAAGGAAAAAGTACAACTCCTTAATTTTATTTTATTTTTTCAAATTCAATTGAAAGTCGTGTGATATTAATGTCCATACTGTGATTTCGATTACATGGAAGATCCAAATTTACCTATTTAAGGTTGTGAATTCTTGACATTACTTTGAAGGTGGAAACCATATCACTCGCAAATTTGAAGAACTAACCCTAATTTTCTTTAAATTTTCGAGGAAAAAAATTGTTGTGTCACTATCAGTCATGTGAGAATTGATGGCACAATTAATCATAAGCCCTAAAAGGTAGAATTTATAACCATTTGCAAGCATGAAAAGCTACTGTTATGTTCTCAAGTAGCCATTCACTGAGACATCCATGAAACCACTTTTTTTTTCTTTATTTCAAGAAGCTTGTGACTCATAAAATCAATGTTCTCATCTTTCAGCCAAAGAAAGTTAGCCTTATTATGTGGTTAAAAAATAAGTAGTCATGTGAAATCAAGCAACTTGTGCCATAATTCCTTAATGAACAAAGCTAATTTCTACTGCAATAATTTCTCGAGAAAGATAAACGCATGAAAACTACATTTCGGAAATTGGAATTGAGGGTGGAGTAACTCGTATCTTTGTGTATCGATTCTCTACAAGATTGGGGCTCATTTGAAAGTAACAATCTTAAAATTCATTTACTCGCTTAATCTTTGGACGAACGAGTTGTTCATCTGAGCTTTTTAGAGTCAGACCGTATTAAATCTTGATGTTTTACTTTAAATAGTCAACTGTGTTAAAAGTAATAGCCGAATCACTTGTATTCATATTTTAATTTATGGACTTTTACGCTTAACAATCTCAACCGTGCACATTTCATCCTTTTCAAATTACAAATAGCATATATCTTTGTTTGCAACTCTTCAACCTTTTACATCACTCGAGTTTTACACGATTTGATAAATTATTCCAAATTAAAAGTAATTATATATACTTCGTGCCGGGGGCGAAACTATGATTGCATTTTAGGGTGAGCTAAAATTTTTTATACTATGGTCTGCCCCTACGTCGTGCCATTTATAAAAACCAATATAGCAAGTAATGCTCAACCAAGAAAAAATATGGACACCCAAATACTCATAGACGTTTGTTTTCCTTATATCGATGAACGCGAATTCTTTTCTTGAGACCATTCTTAATAGTGTTGTACTTCTTCGTGAAGCTATATATGGTCAATTCACCAATTGTTACTCGATGGAAGATATGCATCCAATTAATACTTTTGTTTTAAGCCACAAATTCTGAAGAAAGATCTAGCACATTCAAGACTGTACAAGTGAAAATTGTACAGTGACTTGGGAGTTTCCATGGTCCACTAGATGTTCTTTTTCAGTGTTCCCAAGTTACAAGGCAAACATCTATAAATAGGTCCAGTCATATGATCACAGATCCATCCAACAAAAAATTCAATTATTTTCCATAACTGATTATTTCTATGTAACTTTTAAATCATTGAATTCACAATTCTCATAAGGGTTTCTTAAGCCTTAAAAAAATACACACACACATTGCATCAACATTATCATCATCATCATTAGGGTTTTCTTGACGCTTGAAGATTAAATTCATCATCATGGCACCACATGGAGAGGCCATTGTTAGGAACTCTTCTAAAACCCGAAACTCGTGCAAGCCCTCGAAGAACAATAACCTGCAAAGAACAGTATCCGACATATCTTTCGAGCTAAGCAAAGAGGCTGCTAATGCTGCAGAGTTGCAAAAACTACCACCAATTTCTGAAATTGAAGATGTCAAATGTGATAGCTGTGGCATGAGCGAAGAATGCACACCCGAGTATGTAGGCCAAGTGCGCGATAAGTTCTCAGGGAAGTGGATTTGTGGGCTCTGCGCCGAAGCAGTAAAAGAAGAGACTGAGAAAAATGGTGGGAATAGGGAGGAAGCACTGAATTCCCATATGCATGCATGTGCTAGGTTTAACAAATTTGGAAGGGCGTATCCAATTCTTTGTCAAGCTGAAGCCATGAGAGAAATCTTGAAGAAGAGACAAGTTAGATGCAAATCCATGGGTGCTATAGATAATGGTGCTGCAACAAAGAAGGGTGGAATTCTTAGGAGCTCAAGCTGCATTCCTGCCATAACTAGAGATGTGAATGATCTTAGAATGGAAAATTAATTATTTTGATCAATTATAATCTATTAATTGTGAACTTTATATTGATAAAGTTAGTTTGGCTTGAATTTTATTTTTCATTTGCTTTTTCGTTTTTCTTTATAGTCATTTAGTTAAGCTACTAGTTATGGGTTTAGGGATGGGTTTCACTTCTTGGTTTTACATTTGCCGCATGTTTGGCCACACCTATGTTATTCACACATTTGTGGAAACCCACAAGTATTATCACTTTATTCACTATTTATTTTTATCTATTTATAATTTAAATCGATTATAAAAACCTCGATAACATGCTTTAATATTTGGAGACAGTCCTATAATACGCATTTATCAAGAAACGAGTTGCTAGTGTTATATAAACAAAAGTAACAATACAATTTTTGTTAACTGCACCACATTTTAATTACAATGAAAATCCTTAAACTTTTCATTTATGTTCTCAACTTTTTAAATTTTTTTTTTATCATCAATCCTCTATTAATTTTCACATCTTGTCTTAAAGACGATTTTCCTCAAAAATGTTTGTATGAGGGCCAAAAAGAACTATTTATCTCTCGTATTTTTAAATAATCGAAATAAATAACTAATACAAAAGTTTAAAAAAATATTTGTCCATATTCTCAATGCACATTAGTAGAATATTTGGATGAAAATCGTGATTAGAGACAAAATATGTTAATTAATTGAAAGTTAAGAATGACAATACGGAGAGAAAAAAGTTGACATAAAAGTAAAAGTGAGCAAATATTGAAAACATTTCTTGTAATTAAAATGTAGTGCATATATAAAAAAAAATTGTGTGAATAATTACTCATAAACAAATAGAAATGAACTTTGTTCATAAACTTTACCCCAGAATCATAACTGAAATCAAATATTTTTTTCCAGGATAACCCTCGGACTCGGGACATTGTTCTTTATCAGTCTAACATTTTACTCTAAACTAACAGATTGCTTATATTTGGCCGTCGACCTCCAACATTTTCCCACCAGTATCATCATATGTCACCTACAGCTTCCGTTTTCTTTTCATTTGGAATGCGGTGTGTAACAGATTTTGGTTGGTTAGTTTCTTAATTTGTCTATTTATATTGCTGGTATTGTATCACACGGTTGATAAGATTTGGGATCAATTTCAGCATTTCTCTTCTACTTCTTCCTTTGTTCAAACGTTGATATGGTATCAGAGCTAGGTTTTGCTTGATCTGCTCCAATCTTTTTTCTAAATTCAGACGAAGAGTGTTCTGTCTTCTTCCTCTTCATCACCATGGAAATTGAATTGAGATCATCTACTAGCAAGTCCGCCTTAAATGAACCTTCCAATCCATTTTACCTTCATCATTTTGATAGCCCCGGTTTGGCACTTACCGGAGAAAATTACACATCCTGGAGTAGAGCAATGCTAATTGCATTGTCAGTGAAAAACAAGCTCGGTTTTGTTGATGGATCAATTGAAAAACCTGAAGGTACTCATCCAGATCTCTTTCAGCTCTTGGACTAGGAATAACAATATGGTTATTTCATGGATTTTGAATTCGATTTCAAAAGAAATTTCTTCTAGCATCATTTATGTTGAATCAGCACATGAAATATGGCTTGATCTAAAGGAGCGTTTCCAGCAGAAAAATAAGCCTCGAATCTTCCAGCTAAAACGTGAATTGATGAGTTTAGCTCAAGGTCAAAATTCTGTCAGCATATACTTTACAAAACTGAAAACCATTTGGGAAGAATTAAGCAATTATAGGCCGGTTTGTTCCTGTGGCCAATGCACTTGTGGTGGTGTGAAGAATCTCAGTTCACATTATCATATGTAATACTGATGTCCTTATGGGGTTGAATGATTCTTATTCACAAGTTCGAGGGCAATTACTTCTTATGGAGCCATTATCATCTATAAATAAAGTATTTGCCTTAATCTCTCAAGAGGAACATCAGAAGAAGATTTCTGGCCAAGTTGGTTATAATTCAGATCCGGTTGGAGGCATGGATTTTGCTGTTAAATCAGACACTGCTAAATGCACTTGAATGTCTAATGCTGGGAACTATAATCATACTGATAATCGAAACATCTACAACAATGGAGGTTACGAAGGTAAGAAGAAAGAGAGACCTTTCTGCACCCACTGCAACTTTCATGGTCATACGGTTGACAAGTGCTATAAGCTCCACGGTTATCCTCCTGGTTACAAAGTTAGAAATAAAGATAACTCAACCTACAGCGGCCGTAACATTGTTGTTAATCAGGTGGCAAATTAGAATGAACAATAGAAGGATGTTGGAAACTTTGTTCAAAATCTCAATTCCAACCAATACCAGCAACTCATGTCTATGTTATCCAATCACTTGACTGCTTCTGTCAAAACTACTGATGAACCAATCACTTCTTATACTACAGGTATTTGCTTATCAATTTCATTGAGTCATATCTTTTCGACTACTCAGTATTGAATAGTAGATTTAGGTGCTACAAGGCACATATGCTCCAGCTGATGCTTTTTGTTTCTATGAAACCTATTCAAAACTCCAAGGTTACATTACCAAATCATTCTCAAATTCCTGTGAACTTCTATGGTGACATTAGATCGAGTCCTATATTGGTTCTCAAAGATACTTTATATGTGTCTCACTTCAAGTTTAACTTGATATCTGTGAGTGCACTCACTTGTGGATCAAATCTCACAGTCAATTTTCTTCCTGATTGCTTCATTATCCAGGAACATAGCACCAAGAAGATGATTGGCAAGGGTGATAAGGTTGAAGACCTCTATGTTCTGGATAAAACCAATCTGAATTGCAATCTGAATTGTGTCTCTACATCATATGTAAATATCGTATCAGCTCATATATGGCATAACAGGCTTGGCCACCCATCCTTTAGACGTTTAGATACTTTGAAAAACCGTTTGAATTGTGATGTATCTAAATTGAATAAAGTTGACCCTTGTTACATTTGTCCTCTTGCAAAACATAGACGATTACCTTTTGATTCTCACAATCATTTGTCTCAGCTTCCATTTGACCTAGTGGCATTGTGATTTTTGGGAGCCTTATCATATTCCCTTTCATGCGGGTCACAATTATTTCCTCACCTTGGTGGATAGTCGCACACATTTTACAAGGATTTATATGTTCAAGTAAAAGTTTGATGTTAGCACTATAATTCCAGGATTCTTTGACATGATATCCACTCATTTTAATAAAGAAATCAAGATTTTCAGATTTGATAATGCACCTGAGCTGAGCTTTACTGAGTTCTTCAATAATAGAGGCCCGCCAGTTTTCATGTGTAGAGAGACCTCAACAAAACTCAGTACTAGAAAGGAAACATCAACATCTCCTCAATGTTGCATGAGCACTTTACTTCCAATCAAGAGTTCCAACTCAATTTTGGAATGAATGTGTCTTTACTGCAGCCTACCTTATCAATAGAACACCCTCTCCTCTGCTCAAACACAATACTCCCTATGAAATTCTGCACAAGCATTCAACAGACTACTCTAATTTCACGGCGTTTGGATGTCTTGCATTTACATCAACACTTAGTGCTCATAGAACCAAATTCCAACCTCGATCCAGAATCTTTGTATTCCTTGGTTATCCACCAGGCATGAAAGGTTACAAATTATATGACATTGCATCAAAACAAATCTCCATTTCCAGAGATGTCCTATTTTATGAAGAAATCTTTCCAATTCATTCCATTATTTTCTCAGATAACTTAATTGACCCTTTCCCTGATCTTGTTTTACCCATTCCTTTCCTTGAAACTTCTTCCATTATTCCTTCTCTACCTACTTCCAATCACCATATAACACATGACATTTCACCTACTTCCCAGGATAATATTGAGACTTCGATTACTGATCCCTTACATTCCAATTCTCTTCCTGATATACACAACCTTAGAAGATCTACTAGAACTCCAAAACCTCATTCCTATTCGAGAGAATTTCGTTGTAATCTCTTATACCAAAAGTTTTGTAATCCCGCACCTTCTCCATGCACCAGTACTTATCCTATTTCTAATCACTCATCCTATAATTCCTTATCTCATGCTCATAGAAACTTCATCTTAAATGTTTTATCTCAATTTGAACCTCAATATTACCATCAAGATGTGAAGCTTCCACAATGGAGGGCTGCCATGACAGCTGAATTAAATGCTATTGAATCAAATGACACTTGGTTAGTCACTTCATTACCTGTCGGGAAGTGTTCTATTGGCTGTAGATAGATTTAAAAAATCAAGCACATATCAGTTGGTACTACTGAAAGACACAAATCACGCCTAGTTGCTAAAGGATATACACAACAAGAGGGTTTAGATTACACTGAGACATTTTCTCCTGTGGCAAAACTTGTTACAGTTAAAGTTTTGTTGGCACTTGCTTCGAGTCACAAATGGCATTTGGCACAACTTGATGTAAACAATGCCTTCCTTAATGGTGATTTGTTTGAAGAAGTATATATGGACCTTCCACTTGGTTATCATATACACAGGGAGTCTCCACCACAGCAGGGCAAATTGGTTTGTAAACTTCACAAATCAATATATGGCCTTAAGCAGGCTTTAAGACAGTGATACTCCAAATTTTCTCAAGCTCTTATTCAGTTTGGGTTTGTTCAGTCCATGGCAGATTATTCCTTATTTACAAAAGGATCAGATGCTTCATTTGTTGCCCTATTAGTCTCTGTGGATGATATAATAATTATAAGTCCAAACAGTCGGGTGATACATGCCTTAAAGGCTTTCATCCACACACAATTCAAGCTCAAGGATTTGTGGCATCTCAAGTATTTTCTTGATCTTGAAATCGCCCATTCTGCCAAAGGCATTGTCTTATCACAGAGGTATTATGCTATCCAGCTTCTTGAAGACACGGGATATCTTGCGTGCAAGCCTGTATCTGTTCCTATGGATCCTAAAATTCGGTTAAATGCTAATGAATGTAAAGTCCTTGCTGAAATTTCTCAATATAGACGAATTGTTGGGCATCTACTTT